GTCCGGCGCAGTGGGTTCTGGGCTTCAACCCTGAGCTCAATGACTCCCTGTCCGCAGACACGCTGTCCGCGCCAGCGGCGGAGGCCTACCTGGAGGAGGAGACGTTCCAAGAGGCGATGCAGAGCCGGACGGCAGCGGCGACGGCATCCATAAAGGCGGACTCGACGGAGCGGCTGCGCAAGGCCTTCCTGCGCAAGAGGCGCGACACACACGAGGCGGTGAGCGCGGGCGACGAGTGCTACTGCTGGCGCGACCGTGGAGCTAGTCGGCTTCAGAAGTCACGCTGGAGAGGGCCGGCGACTGTGGCGCTACGCGAAGACGCGGAGAACGGCCAGCCCAAGGTCTACTGGGTCACGCACGGCGGGAGCTTACTGAGGTGCAGCCCGGACCAGATCAGACCCATTGTGGAGCGGATCGGCGAGTCTAAACGACCAGCAAACTTACAGGCAGCGCAGGCCACTCTACAAGGACTACGACGCGGAGGTATCGTGCAGTTCTTCGATATCAGTCAGCTGCCCGGACCCACTGAGGAGGACCGAGCGGACGAGCCGATGGAGGAGGACGAGCCAGCTCCTGCAGCTGGAGGCGCACCGACGATGGAGCAGGCCATGGCAGGTCAGCTCAGGCAGGTCTCTGCCCAGGGGTCTGCCCAGGGTTCCGAGCCGCAGGCCGAGCCGAGGTCAGCGAGCAACGAGGGCCCGACACCGACGGCGGACAACACTGCGATACCCGATCCAGACGATGTGGATCTACAGCCACAGCCAGCACAGCCAGCAGGGCGTTCGCCCGGCGCCCTCTCGGAGCCCACGGGACGAACAGCACCCACACCGACGACGACAGTGACCGACTCGGCGGCGAGGTTCAGGGAGATGCGGAGGAGCATGGACGCCTCGGAGATGGCGCCGATGCGGACGTTCGCAGCTCATCGCGACCGACAAAATAACAGATCAGGACCCTACGACAAGGTGGAGTTCTCAGAGGACGTGGCGTTCCTGAACCTGGACGCGCTGCCCAAGGGCTGGAGCTACAGCGTGCAGGAGCAGGCGTTCTACCTGGACTACGAGGAGTGCTTCGTGGCTGGCGAGCTGAGCGGGAAGAACATGAACGCTGAGGACAAGGCCAGGTTCGCGGAGGCGAAGCGCGCGGAGCTGCAGAGCTTCCTTGACAACCAGGTCTGGGAGCAGGACAAGAACGAGGTGAAGGACCCCAACAAGGTGCTGCGTGCGCGGTTCCTGCTCAAGTGGTCGAAGAACGCCGACGGAAGCTACCGGGCCAAGGCGCGGCTGGTTATCCAAGGGTTTCGAGATCCAGACGCGGTTGCAGGGAAGTTGGCCAAATCCTCACCGACGATGACGAGACTGAGCAGAACCTTCATCGTGATGTTCGGCCGCATTCACGGCTGGATCCTGTTCACCGCGGACGTCAGCATTGCGCTCTTGCAGGGAAAGCGCTCGGACCGCGGGATCTCCGTGCTGCTACCGGCGGAGGCGTGCAGGATGCTCGGCTACCAGCCGGGTACGCGGATGAAGCTGCTCAAGAGTATGCACGGCCTGAGCGACGCGCCGAGGCTCTGGTGGGAAGAAGCTACCGACCGCATGACTGCGCGTGGCTTCGTGGTTCACCCGCTGGACCCCTGCCTGTTCCTGAGCTACCGCCTGGACGCGACCAACTCGAAGGTATTCGACGGCGCGATCGGACTGCGCGTTGACGACATGCTCGGCGGCGGCAGCAACCAGGAAGGCCAGGCATGCCTTTCGGCGCGCGTGAAGGAGCTCAAGAAGGTCTTCAACTTTAGGACGTGGGAGGACACCGAGAAGGGCACCCTGAACGTGGCAGGCGACGCTTCGATGGATTTCTGTGGAAACCAGCTCACCAAGACAACGGACGGCGATTATCATATGAGCTGTGGAGCCTACATCAAGTCGCTCAAGCCACTCACCGTGACCAAGAACCGAGCGAGCGACCCGAAGTTGGCTATCACCGAGGGCGAGCGTCGACAGCTACGCGGACTGATGGGAAGCTTGGCGCGGCCCAGCAACCAAGCAGCGCCACACTTGCAGTGCAGCGTCAGCCTGGGACAAGGCACGATCAACGAGGGCTCTACCGTGCAGGACCTGGTGGAGGCCAACAAGACGTTGAGGTTTGCTAAGGCCAATAGCGACGTGTGCCAGGTGTTTCCCAAGATATGCGACGACCCGGACGAAGTAACGTTCATTTGCATGACGGACGCGGCGTGGGCAGTTCGACGTGATGGAAGCTCGCAGGGAGGCTACCTCATCCTAGCGACGCACAGGCGCGTGCTGAGCGGGGACACCGTCAAGTACGTGATCGTCGACTGGCGCTCGTGGAAGCTACCGAGGGTGAGCAGATCCTCATTGGCGAGCGAGGCTCAAGCTGCGGCCGGAGGCGTGGACGCGCCCGAGTATGTGAAGGTGCACTACAGCCTGATGCTCGACCCGACTCGGGATCCGAGGTTGAACGGCACCATGGCGGTGCTGGGCAAGAGTGCGCTCGCGGTGGACGCGAAGGCTCTGTACGACGCGACCCAGAAGCCCCACGTGCACAACTTCGACGACAAGCGGACGGGCATCGAGGTGCAGGTGCTGAAGGAGCGCATGACAGCGAGCGCGACGGGCTGGTACTGGGTCAGCTCTGAGCGCCAGTTCGCAGACGGCTTCACCAAGCTGGCAGCGCGACAACTACTGGCCGATCGACTGAGGGCGGGTACGATCAGCCTGAAGTTCGACGAGAAGTTTCAGGCCGCTAAGAAGAAGACGGCCAGGGACCGACAGGAGGAGGCCAAGCGTTTTGCCACATTCAGACCGAAGATGAGCACCAAGGCCGTGGCGGCGATGGCATCTCTGACGGGGACAGCAGCCAGCCAGGTGGAGACTTACAAGGACAAGATCGAGACGGCCCTGGTGGAGTTCGAGTGGACCGACAGCCCGAGGATCGTGATCAGCATACCGCTCAGCACGTTCGTGAAGGGTTTCTTCAGCATGATGATGATGATGATCGCGTTACTGGGTTTCGTGTGCTACGCGATTCCCAAGGCTGCAGGGGCGGAGAAGCCGGCCCCGGCTCTTCCAGAGCCAGAGCCTGAGAAGGAGTGTGTACAGACCAAGGCCCCGAAGGAGAAGAAGGTAAAGCTGAGTTCCATCGAGTGGGGCGTCGGTTGCCAGGGCCCGGCCACCTACGCGAGCATCGGACGACCCGACGGACAATACGGACAGTACAAACATGTGACGAATGGGTTTTGCCGAGGCTGGGAGATCACACGTGAGTTGCACACGGCGCAGCAGAAGCCGCGCGCTGAGTGACGGTGCCCCGGCAAATCTTGATTTGCATCCTGTTCCAGTCTCGTGCTTTTCTCTATCCACACTCTCTCAATGAAGCTATTTCCCAGGCAGAGGTATGCGACAACGAAGTTTGGAGCAGTTTCTCTCGAGCGAGGCCGAGATGATGTCCGGCTGCCAGTTGCTGCGAAGATTTTCATGTGAGAAAGGCGGGAGTTTAACAAGTTTGCATTCCCTTTTTCACCAGTGTGAATTGTACTCCATACAGTGCGTTTTCAGAGGTGTTTCTGACAAACATGTTAGAACAACAACCCTCCCCCCAGCATGTAGCAGCAGGGTGTTCGCCCGGCGCCCTCTCGGAGCCCACGGGGCGAACACGAGCAGCAGTGTGTAAAGCAGGCATGGCACTTTGCAGCAAGCACCGTTGCCGTTTGAGCTCGAGAGGCCTCTCGACTGACCAAAATACTATCATCACTCCCCTCGTTTCCAGAGCGATAGCGAGTACGAGTGCGAGAACGATCTGGCAGCGATACGAGATCGGATTTCGATGCCGAGTTCGACGACTTCGAGAGCGTCGAGCAATTCACACGTAGTCGTCGTCGTCGCGTCGTCGCGTCGTCGTCGTCGTCGTCTTCGTCGTCGTCGTCGTTGAGCACAGCGGGCCTGCGCAGCAGCCCCCCCGTAGGGCATCCGCGGTGCATCGTCGTCGCGTCGTCGTCGTCGTGTTCGTCGCGTCGTCGTCGTCGTCGTCGTCGTCGGTCGTCGTCGTCGTCGTCGTCGTCGTCGTCGACTACAGCGGGCCTGTGCGGCACGCACACACACACACACACACACACGCACACACACACACCATAGGGCATCCGCAGTTCGTCGCCGTCGTTGCCGCCAGCGCCGTCTGCCGTCCGCCGTCCGTCGTCCTCGCCCTCGTCCTCGTCCTCGTCCTCCTCGTCCTCGTGTTCGTCCTCGTCTTCGTTTTCGTCATCGTCGACGTCGTCGTCCTCGTCGTTGTCGTCGTCGTCGACGACTACAAAGTTCACGGCAGAGGGGCGTAGGAGGACTGCCCGCCTCGCTCGGGTCGGACGACAGGCTGGGGAAGGAAAGGAGGGGTCGCGAAACCTAGTGCGCGCAGCTGGTTCCGGTCGCCCCGCCGAGGGGCCAGTCCTCGATGCATGGCCACTTTCGGCGCCAGGGGGCGCTCGGAAAGTTAGCAACGTAAACTGCTGGGCGAATCCCCTCTTGGCCACGCCCCCTTTTCGTCCAGCCCGCCTTGCTCGCGGGCCCGCGAGGCAGCTGGCGCTCCCCTCGGCTACGGCCAGGGCAAGGGAAGCGCGTCGGTTCGACAGGAAACAGCACGGAAAGTGCGGGGGCGACCGCCGACAGCTGATCTTTTTCATTTCGAACTGGTGTCGGCTTGGCTCGCGGTCCCTGCTTCTTCTGCCTTTGCCTCTCCCCCAGTCTGCGCTGTTTGTCGCCTCCCTGCTGGAGTTTGGGCGTCGGCGCTAATCACCGGCGCCGCCGCCGCTGATTTTCAATCTGGCGGGCGCCACCCCGCGACTCGCCTGAGCAGGGAAACGATTTGTTGAAACGCTCGCCCCCCGCAGATTCGTTAATCACTAGCTGACATATCGGAGCGGATCTCGGATTAACACGCACGCGGCCGCAGCCGTCGGATACAAGTTCTGTTTCGGCGACTACGGCATTGCCATGACCAGTGACGCGCTCTCCCAGGCTGCGGCGGTTTTGATCCATCACGTATCATCAAGACGCGTTCGCTTCCATCCAAGTGAGTTACCGTTGCGTTATCCATTACTGCGTGAACGACCAAAGCAGAGCAGCTACCAGGTTGTCGCCACACACCCGATTAGTGCGCCAGAGGCACCTCCTGGTGCGCCGACGGGACCTGCGGCAGAGGAAGTACCATCCCCGACATCGGTATCCGTGGAGATACAGTCGGGCCTGCCACCTCCGAGTCCGACAGGAGTGCGTCGATTTTCTGATGATAAGAACGAGGTCGACAATGTCAAAGTGGTCCACATCAAGCACATGCCCGTAAACAGTGCCACGCTCAAGCAGAGCTGCATCCTCCAGGGCGGGTGGAGCACCAAGGCAGATGAGGGCGGGCATGCGGCCCCTGATTCCCGCATTCCACGGACAACAAAGACACTCGACGAGATCAGCGACGTTCACATCCACACCATACACGAACCCAGTGGCACTTCGGCCAGACATTGCTACGCCCTTCCGGCTTTCATTGTTTTCGGGTGCAGACATTTCGCGTTCTGCAATATGGCGCTCTCGCTTTTCTGGGAGAGATCTTACGTCAGCACCAGGAAGATATCTTACGGCAGCTCACGAAAGAAGGCCCTCGATAATTTCAGTTCGCGGGTCAGCGCAGAGGAACTATGCGCGAATCACTATGGCATTGTATTTGTTTGCTGAATTGCTTGGGACGCCGAAAGCACTTGGAAATGTCTGGACCCGGACGTGATGAGCATATCAGCTCTCAACCGATGGCAGCACACTAGGTCTGTCTCGGGAATGTACGTGATCTGATTATCTTGATAATCTGGGAAAGAATACGCAACCTTTTCCTGTGACTCAGGGGGCCCTGAACATCAAGCGGCAGCGGTACAACCATAATCATACACTGTGCGAATACACAACGCAACTGACACTGCATACACAAATGAAAACTCGATGAAACATGGGTGATATTGACACGGGCGGAAAAAAGGAGTTAGCACATATACATTACAAACCACACTGCCTAAACTCAGGGTTCCCCGGACGTTTACCAGGAGACTCAAACGGCAAACTCAGACTAAAGCTTGAAAACTCCAAGCTTTCGGGGACGAGACCGAAACAAAACCACCGATAAACATCACTGTCACCGCAGGTCCCCTGCACAAACCAGTCAAACTCGAATGTGAAACATACCGGCGGTCGCGTCAGCGACATACATCTCCTTAATGATTTCAGCACGCCAGGCGATCGGTCGATCTCGCCAGGCAAGCAAGTCCGCGCCTCGTGGGCGCTCATCAGGTTGTGCATCACAATGCACATCAGCTCCTGCGGCATCGCCGCCACGTTGCCATAGGCTGGGTCCCCGTCGTCGTCCTCTATCCGACAAAAGCTCCGTGTGCGTACTCGGGCAGCGGCTGGAACCTCGGCGTCTGCGCATCCTGGTTGTAGCGGCACTGAGCCTGGCACATCATGTGGCGCACCACCTTCTGGCGTGGCTGCTTGGTGTTCACACCTGTCGTCATCATCTCGGTCCCCTCGACGTAGTGCTTCTCCGTCTTGCTGGGGTTCGGCTCGGTCTCAGGCTCCCGCTGCCTGATGCTCTTCTGCTCAGCTCACGTCGTAGTCCAGCGTGTCCAGCAGGTGCCGACCCAGAATCCACAGCCGAAAGCCACGAACATCGCCATCATGAATCCGAACATGGCCAGCTTCACCAGCAGGTTGTTCCAGTCGTCGTTGGTCGGTGGGTGGAACAGCTCGACGCCGCTGGGCGTATACTGTACCACCTCAGCTCCAGAGCCAGTCGCTCTCGTAGCCGCCAACGTAGCTGCCAAACGAGCTCCACTCGCGCCAAAATGGCGCGTCCTGGCCTTAGCCTTCGCCTTCGCCACGGGCTCCTTCTCGAAGGTGTCGAGCAACTCCTCTCCTGCCTGGTCCAGCTCCTTCTCGCGTTGCTCCATCGCGCGCTTGGCGAGCTTCTTGCCGGCCACGAAATCGGGGTCGTAGCGCAAGGCATGGATTCCACGGCGTAACACATCCGCCATCATTTGGCGCGCCGAAAGCTTGGTGAGTCCGTCCGCCATCTGCTGCTGGGTGTTCACCCACTCCACCTAGCGTTGACCTCCGCCAGCTGCTCGTTCACGATATTCACCTCGATGGCCGTCCTCTTCTCCGCGATGCACAGCCCCGCCGTAGCTGACCGCGAGGCGTCGTAGAGGCACTTCGCGTCTGTGATGAACGGTGACTCTCCGAGGTATGTCATGGCGGCGTCGTGTCCGAGGTCGGGCCTCAGACTCAGGGCCAAAAAGACCTTCACCCACGTCAGCGAGTCGGCTCCCATCGCCGCGGCTTGCGCCTCGGCGGACAGTGAGGTCCTGCACAACCGCACCAGCTTCTTCGAGGCCCACTCCATGGCCACGAACGGTGTCGGGGTGCCGGCGTTGAGCTCGTCCTCGGGTCCGACGAAGATCAGATAGCCTCTTGGGAACTTCCGTCAGGTCGGCTGGCCCAGCTCGCATCTGAGTAGCCTCCAACGCGCAATTCACTCCACGGCCTGGCGAAGCCGAAGTACAATCCCACGTCCGCGTTGGCCTTCAGGAGCCGTAAATCCTTTTTCGCGCCCAGCAAGTCCTGCACCGTCGCATGTCCAGTCGCCGCGGCTCTGAACGATACGGTCGCCGCAGCGATGACAACCCCCAGGGCTGCCGGCCACTGCAGCTGGCCGTTCAGGGTCCTGAAATTGGTGAGCTCCTTTGGCGACAGCGCGCTGGTGGGATCTGCCCGCCGGTGCTGCTCCACGGTGATGGGCTTCACCGCGTGCAGGTACTTCTCGAACTTGATGGTGATCGCGTGGGTGCTCAGGGACTGCTCCACCTCGCCGCCGGCGAAGACTAGGCTCGGCCCGAACTCCCACTTGCCGAACTTGAATTTCTCGTTGAGCATGCCCAGCCGCGCCTGGAAGCACTCGGTGTCGTCCAGCTTGGCGTGCAGGTCATCCTCGCAACTCACGTTCTCGCCGCAGCCGATGAAATCGTCCACGTGCTTGCCGATCAGCCCGTCCACCACGAACGTCTGGCCGTCGAAGCTGCACACGTCGAACGGGTCGTCCGAGGGTCGCGCGGCCCGCAAGGACAGCAGCAAGCAATCCTCGAGCCAGTGGTTCTTGAACCCGGTCTCCCTCGTGACTTCATCGGAGCGGTAGTGCCAGAGCTTGCGCGACCGCGGGCCCCCAAAGCATGGCTTGATCATCTTGGGCAACTGTCCTGGCTGCAGGCCGATCTGGTGTACAAGCATTTCCCGCATCTCCTTCGTCTGGCTCGCGCACAGCTTGATGCCGTGAGCACTGACGTCCTCGGCCTGCAGGAACGCGGACTTCATATCCGCAGCGAACAGCCTCCACTTCCTCAAGGCCGCCCAAAGCATGACCGCGTGTCGGCCAAGCCTGCTCAAAGTGGGCGCCTCCTTGTCGAGCTGGCCCTCGGCCACGTCGCGGTGCTTGACACCCTGGTAGAGCACTCGCGCGTTGGCCACTCGCTGCCCGTCCTTCACCTTCCACTTCAGCAGGAAGCGTAGCGGGCAGCACGCCGCTGGGTCCACCTCCACCTCGTCGATGGGCCCCCAGCCGTCGTTCTTGTTGAACACCTCGAGGACCTCCAGCTTGGCTGCGTAGAACTGCCCCCGCTCTTCGGGCGTGAGCCCCCCCTCCACGACGGCGGGGACCTTCCTCTTGAAAGCCAGCATGTAGACCGTCTCGGTGGATTCCTCCAACAACATCATCTCGTCGCCCACCTCCTCGATGAGACACGACTCCTCCTGCTGCGGCGCGAGCCTGGCCCACGACATGCGGGCGCGTTTTGCCAAGGGGATGCCGTCCAGCTTCTCGGCCTCCTCGATGCTCCTCTAGGCCATCGCCTCGATGTGGGCTACTCGGCTCCCTCGCAGCGTTGCCGCGCTCTCGCGCAGCGCTGGCCCCCGAAGGTGCGGGGTCTGGAGCCGCCTCCTTGCCAGCCTCGGCTGGCTGGCGGGCCTCGGGAGCTGCCGCAGCAGCCGCTCCACTCGGCTCCTCTCGTTCTTGTCCATCTCGATCTCCATCGCGGTGTCCCTGGGCGCCGGGCTGCTGCGCGCCCACGTCGTCCAGGGCGTCGTCGTATTGGGGCCGCTGGCCCCCCTCGGCGAGGTCACTGAAGCTGCAGGTTCCCTTGGTCCGCCTGAGCGCCCTCCTCAGCTTCTCGATGGTGCTGAGTGGGCTGTCGGGATCCTCGCGTCGTCCTTCTCGCTCTCGGGTCTCACTTGACAGCTCGGGACGGAGCTGCTCCACCGTGCATCGGTCGATCGTGCGCCCGTGCGTGACCCACACCACGGACGAGTGCATCACGTCGTCCTCGTTGACCTTTGACTCCACCGCCACCGCCAGCGCCGGGCCATGCCATTGGCACTTCTCCAGGCCCGTCGGCATCTCGGGTCGCCAGAAGTAGGCCCACTCGCCGATCTGGTACTCGCGGCGCGTCGGCCTGCTGCTCGCCAACAGCGCAGCTCGTACGGCACGAGGGCAGTTGGCCTCGATGAAAGCCGTCCCTGCCGCAGCGCGCCTGACCATAATTTCGTGCACCTCGCTCTTGGGGTCGACCAGCGCGGCCTGCTCCGCCAGGCCGAAGTCTTCGTCGCATAGAGCGCCAGGTACCTTGGGCTGCATGCCCAGCACCAGCGTCGCGGGCCCATACCCGTGCCTGTTGCGTAAGATGTTCCGCTGGCTGGCGGTCATCCTGAGCGCGGTCTTGAGCGAGTCGTCGGGAAACTGCAGGTGGTACTTGCTGAGCTGCCCCCCCCCTGACCGCATGGTTGCGCTCCATGAGCCCGAGCTTGTGGCGCGCGCCCTTCGGGATCAGGTCGAGTGTGATGTTGTGCTTGCTCATCCACTGGTGCATCCTTCTTGACGTGTGCGAGCCTGCCATGTCCATCCTCATGGTGTCGGGCTTGCCAGCCCAGCTGATCCACAACTTCTGAAACAGCTTCGCCTCCTTCTTGAAAGTCTCCTTCGCGATCGGGTATTCCACTTCGTAGCGCGTGAACTCATCTATCATGACCAAGATCTTTCGCTCCTGTTCTTCCAGGTGACGTAGTAGACGTCGGTGTTCACGACCTTGTTGAACCGTTTAGCTTTCGGCAGTGCCGCTACGCGCACTGCTCGAGGTCGTTGCCTGCTCAGGCAAACTTCACACTTGAAGAGCTTGGCGCACTGAAGCCACTCGGCCGGGGCCTTCGCGTGCTTCATGGCGGTCGCCAGCGCCGCGTTGGAGGGGTGGCCCAGACTGATGTGGGCACGCTTGACCGCCCTGATCGTCGACACGTTAAAACGCTTCATCAGCTCCTGCATCACGTCTGTGTACTCGATGTCGTCGATGTCCTTGGAAACCTCCTCGGCGGCGTTGATATCCTTAATGTCGTCGGCCATGCCCTGATAGGTGATCAAGTAGGCCATCCTTCGCGCCATCGGTCTCGGGTAGTTCTGAGCCTGCTGGGCAAGCTTGCCGCGTAAGACCACGTGCTCCTCGGCACAGCTGCACTTCATGTTCATGTGGTGTACAAACTCCTTGTTGGTGGACTGGAGTCGCGTAGGCTTCTGGTACGGCATGAGCTCACCCTTGATCTCGAACTTCGCGCCCAGCCTGCACTGGTCGAGCCGGCAGTGGCATCCAGGT